GATATATTCTATTTTAACAAGGAGAAGGCATTATTTATAGTTACTTTTTCATTTAAGATATTTTGAAAAAGGTAAAAAAAATCAAGAAAAATAACTTCAGCTTAATGATTAACTCAAGCTTTATAATAATAAGTTCTGAGTGACAAATTGTTTTAACTCAAAACTGATTAAATACAACAGATGACAAATTATAAAAAAAACATAAAAAAGTAATCATTTAAAATAATACGAATAAAAATAGCGGGGAAAAAGAATGAAGCGATGCCTTTTCCTTTTTATCAAAAGGTTAAATGGGTAACGATGAGATGTAACAATATTACCATTGAAGCAATTTGCACTTAACAATATTACCATAGAAGCAATTTGCATTTAGTCCGCGGAAAGATAGTATATACGTATAAAGAAAGCTGTTTTTGGCCGGGTTACACTGGTGCAAACCCGGGTTATAGTATGGTGAATGTTGGGCGGGCGGGCGGGCGGGCGGTGAAAAACTTTCGTAATTGTTTTCTCAGCAACTACTTATTACAGCCTTTTGATATTTGGTATACAGCATAACACATGGTCCCATACTGTGGGATTCAATTTCAGGTCTGTCGCTCATCTACTTTCTGTTTGCCGACTTAATTAAATTTTCAACGTTAATGGTCAATAGTAGGAAATTTTCTAACAGTTTTCTCAGCAACTACTAATCATAGCATTTTGATATTTGGTGTACAACATCAACACATGGTACCATACTGTGGGATTCGATTTCAGGTCTGTCGCTCATCTACTTCCTGTTTGCTGACATAGTTAAATTTTCAACATTAATGGTCAATAGTAGGAAATTTTCGTAACAGTTTTCTCAGCAGCTACTTATCACAGTCATTTGATATTTGGTATACAGCATCAACACATGGTCCTATACTGTGGGATTCAATTTCAGGTCTGTCGCTCATCTACTTCCTGTTTGCTGACTTAGTTAAATTTTCAACATTAATGGTCAATAGTAGGAAATTTTTGTAACAGTTTTCCCAACAACTACTTATCACAGCCTTTTGATATTTGGTATACAGCATCAACACATGGTCCCATACTGTGGGATTTGATTTCAGGTCTGTGGCTCGTCCACTTCCTGTTTGCCGACTTAGTTAAATTTTCTACATTAATGGTCAATAGTAAGAAATTTTCGTAACAGTTTTCTCAGCAACTACTTACCACAGCCTCTTGATATTTGGTATACAGCATCAGCACATGGTATCATACCATAGGAGATGATTTCAGGTCTGTCGCTCATCCACTTCCTGTTTGCTGACTTAGTTAAATTTTCTACATTAATGGTCAATAGTAGGAAATTTTCTAACAGTTTTCTCAGCAACTACTTATCATTTGGTATACAACATCAACACATGGTCCCATACTGTGAGATTCGATTTCAGGTCTGTCTCTCATCCACTTCCTGTTTGCTGACTTAGTTAAATTTTCAACATTAATGGTCAACAATAGGAAATTTTCGTAACAGTTTTCTTGGCAACTATATATCACAGCCTTTTGATATTTGGTATACAGCATCAACACGTGATCCCATTCTGTGCGATTCGATTTCAGGTCTGTCGCTCATCCACTTCCCGTTTGCCGACTTAGCTTAATTTTGACATAATTAATGATCAATAGATAGTAGGAAATTTTCGTAACAGTTTCCTCAACAACTACTTACCACAGCCTCTTGATATGTGGTTCACAGCATTGACATGACTGTGGTCCCATATTTTGGGATTCCATTTCAGGTCTGATGCTCATTCTTTTCCGGTTTATCAACTAAGTTAAATTTTCAACATCAATGGTCAGACAGTGGTACAAATAAAGTAACATCACAGCCTCATGATATTTTGTATACATATGCAACCCGGCCTTTTCTGTCTTTGACCCATTTTCCCCCCATTAAATTTGATAATGCTGTAATGAATATACAAATGAGACTCAGCCAGCTATGTACAGTGGTAAACATGACAAGTTATGCAAATCCAGTATAATTATAGTATAGAAGCTAAATTGTTAAAGAGTTTTATTGTTGGTTTGATCTTGTATGGAGGACCTCCTATCTTCAGAATTTTTTTGCCCACAATAGAACAAAAAGAACAAACATTCAATTAACAGGCATCCAATAAGGCAACTATTATTGGGGTTAAATTGATTGAATAAATCATGAACAACAAAATCCGCATCATAATAGCCGTTAAAAAATTGACTTATCTCGCTTTAATATCAAACAGCATGATTTATTGCCTAAAACATATGAATCTTAAAAATGAATTTTTATTACTTGATATGGAACTACATAATTGGAGCAGCTTTCGTTTTTACAGCATACTTTAATTTATTTATTTTATATGATTGTAGATAAATAGCTTCTAGCAAATGTTCTTGTTGAATATGTTTACTGATGTTAAAAATATGTTTTGTACATGTTTGCTTTAGTATCTTGTATACTACTACATTAAAATTTTATAAAAAAAATATGGTATAGTTGAAAGCGAAGAAAAACATGAGGTGATCAAGGAACATTCAATTTGATACACATCTTTAACTCCAATGTAAAATTCTCAAAACAATATTTGTATTTTACTGCAAGCCCAAACTGAAAGGGAGACAATACATGCTACTACAGATAGGTCGAACATTCAAAGTTAACTATCTTATCTAAGTCAAATCCTCCGACATCGCAACGAATTAATTCAATAATAAAGATAATTAGATAATTTACATTTAAAAAAACTCCACACACACACACACGCACGCACGCACGCACACGTACACACAAACACAATGTATAAATTTCGGTAACATCTAAATTTTGTATTACATATAAGGTGTATATTCGAACACTGTATTGCAAAAAGAAATGTACAATGTAGTATATATGTAAGTTGTTGGTTATATTTCAGTTATGAAATAAATATAACTATTCTTTTAATTACATCGCGCGCTTGAGGACCAGCTAGTGTTTTATTTTCTTTATATATTTAGGTTTACTGGTGAGAAAAATAATCATTTTTCGGAATTAATATGGAGGTAGAGAGGGGTTCTTGGTTAATATTTAACTATATTATTGGATGTTATAATAATGAAAGAATAAAACACGATTAGTATCTATAATACTGCCTTGTTATTGCATTATAGGAGTAATTATTTTTTTTTCTATACATTTGTTTTGTTTTGTTAATCAGGTTTCAGATATTTTGACTATGTCAGATTATTTTACCAATCAAAATACTATTAATATTTACAAATTAAAGAATACTCGTAAGATGAGACAGGGTTTCAGTTGGTAAAGGAATGGGTCAGTACAATAGAAAATTCACCTAAATGTTTAGTGTATCACATTTACAAAAGTTATCTGGATGTATTATCTGTTAGTTCTTTAGTTTTGCATTTCAATTTATAAGATTAAATTGGAAGCCGCGCAGTGCAATTGTAAAGACTGGTTTGTGTACTGTTGCAATGTTATTTGTATTTGTCAATTTCATTTTTGACATTGGTGATTTTGATTTATTTATATCTAATTTAAGCTATATGGTATAGGTTAAAGTTTATTAGTACGTATTTACAAAATAATTGGTCAAGCGCGGCCCAGACGCGCGACCAATTTAATTTTTATAAATACATACTAATAAATTTTAACCAGCTTAGTGTTTTATAATTTTTAATCAAGACAGTCGATTAGCAAACGAATTAAAGATGCGATTTATGTAATATACATTTATATACCTGCAATCGATATCGACAAAAAAATAATGCTCACTACAAACGATGAAACAGAAGTAGTTCTTGAAACAAACTTTAGCACAATCCTATTTTCTTTTGAATCAAATTAAATTTTTCGAACTGGAGAAATTATATATTTTCGTACCTTTGTATTTCATGTTTTCAATACGATAATGTGAAAATATCGAAACACGGCAGTATTACATAACTCCTGTACTTATAATCCCGACAAGTATATAAGCAAAGCGAAGTCATTATAAAATCAAACGTCACTAGTTATACAAAAACGCACGAGATACAATTCGTTTAATATTGATAAAGAATGGGAACATGAAATAAATTCGACAGAAATAAAATCTGTATCTTTGAGATAACGATATAAAGCGAATAGATTATGTAACAAATTTGCAAATAAACATTTTTTTACTCAAATTATTGTAAATGTGGCGATTATCATTTCGTACTTCGTATTTCATGTTTCACATCGTTTTAGTATCCTTATTGGAAATTTACATTAAGTTCCTGTAAAATTCTATTCCTTTCCATTATTTACGTAAAATTTAATTAAGTGTAGATATCTTTAATAAATAATACTTATTTGAACTTACAATGTTGCACAGATCTAATTTGTTGCTATCAATATTTATAGAAATAAAACATGAAAAATTCGTGTTGACAATTTAAGCATTTATTTCCTGAACTGTGTTTGTAAAAAGAAATATATACTATTTGTTTTGAGCGGTTTTGTAAGTATTTTCGTGATATTTCGCTGGTATACTCGTCTTACAGTTTCATGGAATAAATTATCGGTTTATTGATATTTACAAAATATATTGAGATTCTTTACATTTTTACCAGAATTTTGGTTTGGTGTTTAAAAAAAGAAAAAAGAAAAACAACAACATTTTTACATATTCGTTCATTTCTTGCTTTTCTTGTGTGTTTTTTTAAATATATTGTACATGTATATTAAAAATATTTAGATGTTATACTTTTAATAAACATTTTTTACAGAACTTCCAGGAAATGGTTTTGCTGTTGGTATTGTCTGCTCTTGTTGCCGTTGACATATGTTACGGTAAAAGTACTTGGACATGCACTGCAAATACAGACTCTGTCCCTGGAAGTTCTTGCTTGAAGAAAATGGAAGAGAAAATTAATTCTTTAGAACTTCAAGTACAACAACTGCAAAAACTTGTCCAACAACAAAACGTATCGCCTTATACGACAATCGAAGGCTTTCCAAGAGGTAAAGGCGATTATGTTATCTTTAAAATCACGATGTATCTTATATTACATGGATTTCCACTCACGATTATGTTGAATTTCGAAAAATATGTGACTTTTGTTGTAATGATAACAATTTACATTCTGCAGTGTGATTAAATTAATTAAGCTTACTGAAAGGTTCTGTCAAAAAAGATGTATTTGCTTGTATCATATATGTTAGAGATTGAACATTTTAACTAGGTGGAATAACCAGAGAGTTTTGTAGGTAGTAAAATACAAGTATTTATCACGTATTGAAATGAAAGGATTATCATAATAATGTGACAAGGTTTATAATTCTAGTGTCAATATTTCTAGAATAATCCCCCCTGGAGATTTAATTTTTCTTTTTTCTTCTGTTTGTTATTTTTTCCCCAGGAATTTACTAAAACTTGAAATATATGTCCGTTATCAACCCCTCTATAATAATGTGATTAGATTAAAAGTATAGAATCTGTATAATTTTTGAAGTTGAAATTTATTAAAATGTGCTATATTTTTAAACTTTTCTTCTTTGGTACTAAAAATGGTATCTAATTTAGACTTAAGGTAATTAATTATTCATTGTTGTCCTTCACATTATGTATGCCGATGTTAATAGTTTAAGTACCTTATATATATAGGGTTATCTCCTCTTCGAACTTAGAATTTTGCTTTAAAGAAGTGACCTTTTCCTCTTATCATCTGTGTTTCAGACGGGATTGACTTTTGTCTTTTCCATAGGAGTATAGAATCATCTGTTTTACTTTTATTGACATGGTCACATGCATGTTATGTTTTCCATAATTAGGATGAACATTTGAGTGCTTGCTTGAATATATTTATAACATAACTGATTTAATTTCATACTTCCTTTATTACTGCGTCAAATATATTGTTGGTCGAGCATGCTGTTTGTACAATATGATATACAATGTTTTGTTGGAGCCATCGTGTCTTCGCATCGGCGACCTCTGATAAACTTAAAACGCCTAAACCGAAACGATACAACGAATCGACCAGACGATACGCCTTAGGAACAAGACAATGCGTAGAAACGACGGGACAATCTGAAAACGCGAAATAAATATCTTGTCCGCGCATCTTGTTGTTGCTTTTTATGCATCGTGTGATGATCTTTTCGTTTTACAATATCTTATTTTGTGTCATTGCTTTATCATCTCGTCACTTCAGTACATTGTCTCTTTGCATTATTTGTAACATTACTGCTAACAATAATGGAATACACAACGAGGTGATACACCGAAGTGACGAGACGATACACACACTGAAGCAACAAGATGTTGCACCGAATCGACAATTCGTGAACACGGTAAGACAATGCACTGAAACGACAAGATGATATGCAGAAGCAACAAGAAGTTGTATCGAAGCGCCGATACGAGGACAATATAAGACAATACCTGAAGCGACGAGACAATTAGCGAAAGCGATGACTCTTTAATGCGAGGATAAGATAAGATAAGATAATACAGTGAAGCGAATAGACAAGATGATACACCAAAGCATCAAGCATCAATGACGTGTCGATGAGCCAGAGTCTGAGGATAGCTGAGGATACGAGGCGGTAAGATGACACGAAAAAGGATAAGGCAATGGGGTTACATGATATTCAATTTTATATGCTTTTTCATATTGGTTATTTATTTCGGCATATCGTGTCGTTGCTTTGGCGTATCGTTTTGTCTCTTTGTCTGAGGCTTCTTGTTTGTCGCCTCGGCGTACATTTCATAGCTTCAGTTTTCAAGATTTGTTTCAGGTAGCCGAAGTGAAGAAACAATGATCCAAAAGAACCAGCACAATACCACCACCAGTATTGTTTGATTATTCAGCAGCAATCCAGTTTGAACTTTTGTTTCGTATATATTCTACGCAATATAAGTTCTTTATCCCAGCAGGCACTCGACGTTGTTTCAACGTTGAAACAACGTTGAAATATGGTCGTGACGTTGTTCAACCAATATTCAACTATAGACGACCATACGGATATATTACCAATGTATATACAACGTTGATTCAACGTTGTTTATGGTCGAAGTTTTACATTTAGTTTAATCATTATAACAACTTTTATACCACTAATTTTGTGTTATTATTCCTTTATTGAATTAGTCTGTAAGTGATTTTTGTCAGGAAAATTTGTGTAACAATCTTTTTCCGTATATTCAAAAGTAGCGCTTAAACAAATAAAGTTGGAAATAATTTTTCACTTTCTATTAACGATTTAAATATTAGTTAATATGTTTTGTTGTTTGTTGTTTTATTTTTTAGTTCTTTATGAATAATATTAATTAATAAATTGATATTAGTCAAAACCCCGTTTATAAAATAACGCTGGTCAGGGGAAGTAATTGTTGAATGCAATTTATTTGGATTTCAAAGGTATTACCGTAATGTTTTACTCTAGTTTACTAATCATTTTCTAAAATATTATTATTTATTCTTAAAATTCTACTTTAATTTACTTTATGAAATAAATAAGAGATGAAAACACAAGATTGAGTTGATTTGACACGTTTTCGCGACCTAATTAAATGATTTGGGTTCGGTAGGCCATGTAAGCATGAAGTTATTGATGTCCTTGGCAATTTATGATTTTACAAATCTTGTCTTTCTTTAATTTATTTTTCATATTATTAAACATTTGTCTGTACTATATCCTAATTAGAATTTAATCAATTATAATATTGAAACCTATAAAGTAGTTCGGCCCAAGACGATTCGTCAATATATATAACTATGCTTATATTTTAGTGATAGTATAATAAAGTGTTAATTAATTTGAAAAAAAACAAACAACATTATTATTAAGTTAAATAACAAATTTGAGTGTTAAACTTTAAAGTTCAATAGTCGTAAATTTATGGGGAATAATAAATCTATTTCTATTTTATTATATATTATTTTATGTTCTAGATCCTGGTCCTGACTGAAATTTAGAGTATTGCAGCTGTAGCCTGTATACCATACATTCAACATGAAAAGGACTGTCAGGTTTGTTAAATTGAAATTTATTCTTATTAATTTATAGATTTGAATTTCTTTACAATACAAATTATAATTTTTTTAACTACTGGATATTTATCTTGTCTTAAAATATATTATTTTCGGAATATTCCTGTAACATTATCAATATAAAATTTACATGTTTGTTGATTTCAGGATGCAGCATAAAATGGTCTTAGCTGCTCTAGCTAGAATGTTAATTTCTTGGGAATATGCTTCAAGGAACTGACAGGGAGCAGTTTTTTTACCAATCATAGGTGAGACTTTTAAATAGCTTCTTTTTAAAAAGTTTTTGTTGTCTTATATACAGTATTTGCTGTCAATATGAAACTTAGCTTTGTTTTAATTTCTATGCTGTTTTATGATGTAAATCTTAGAGAAAAACACTTTAAGATAAAAACAAATCACTAAGTTGAGTAATTATATGTATAATAGTCACTTTTAACTACAAACTTCTTATTTTTATTTGCAGAAGCAGTAAGAGATAGCCAAAGAAGTACTCAAACACTTGACATATCCAGAAAGATCTAGAAGAAAAGATTGGAACAGATTGCAGCTTAATTGTTAAAACTATTAAAGTGAATTTAAACTGCACTTAAATTGTATTTTTGAAATAAAATATCGGAAGTATTTAATATTGTCTTGATATTTTTTTAAACTTGGTTACTTTGTTTTATATCCAAAAGTTAAAGTATGGTGGGTTTTCAACGTTGAAATGACATTGAAACTTCAACGTTGTGCCAACGTTGAAGCTGCAACGTTGTATCAACGTTGAAATTTCAACGTTGTTTCAACTTTCAAATCCGAATATAAATCCAACCTTATTTCAACGTTGAAATCTGACCATAATTCAACGTTGAAACAACGTTGATGTGCCTGCTGCGATACGTGTTTCTTTAAAATTTCTATGAAACATACTTATTGTTTACATTTAGTTTTTAGCATGATTTTTTTCGCAGATTGCTCGGAGATATATAGAAACGGTACCAGACAAGACGGTGTTTATTCCATCTCGCCAGACGGGAGATGCCCATTCTTTGTGTTTTGTGACATGGCAAATGGTGGCTGGACATTAATTCAAGTACAGTGTATTTCCGTGATATCTTACATTCAATGTTTTATATTACTAAATGATAAAGGTGCTTGCCGCTAAAACCGGTGGTTGTCGGTTTGACCCCTAGGGTTCACTACTGTATTTCTGTACATGACACAAGTACTGGTTATTCACATGGAGCGGCACGGAGGGTGGCTCAAACAGCCTACAAGCTTACGTTACAATTTAACTAATGTAGTATGAATATATTCATTTATTTCGCCTTTATAATGTAAAAAACACCACTTACAGTCCATTTTATTCGATTTATTTCTTGCTAGAAGCTTTAAACGGTTGAATTAGTATACAGTATCTATATTCAGTTTTGGATGATTTCTCGGATGGTTTTAACAATCCGTTTAAATGATGTATAAAAATCTAAAAATGTATTTTTTTAGAAACGTGCGGATGATTAGATAAATTTCTACCGGTCATGGGATGATTACGTAAATGGCTTTGGAGATATCGATGGGTCACATTGGCTTGGTTTAGAGAAAATCCATCGTCTTACTATTGGTGGCAGTCAAATTTATTTTGACATGGAGAATTATGAGGGGGAAAAGGAGTATGCACATTATAAGGTTTTCACTGTTCACGACGCAACAACTGCCTACACCATGAACGTAGATGCATTTAATTATGAGGGGAATATTGGCGAATTGTTCAGTTACCATAACAATATGAAATTTTCAACATATGACAGGGACAACGACGCTTCTTCTGGTAATTGTTGTCAGAAGTATCTGGACGGTGGCGGATGGTGGTATAAAGAATGTTATAGATTGGGAAACTTAAATGGAGTTTATGGGAAACGAGAGCAGGGAGGTATTGGCTTATGGACGACAAAAAACGTTCCCGTGAAAAATGTCCTCATCAAGGTGAAAAACATGCACGGACAATGTTGAAAAGAGCAATGTTATTTTTTTTGCTTCTCAGACTTTACTTTAAACTTTAGAGGAATGCTGTCTTAAGTTTTAATATTTAGTGGGGTTTTTGTGATCCCTGAAGTAGCTTTTCTGTACAAATCGTCAGTAGAAAAATAAAGGAAACTGATGTTTTGGGTGTTGATGAATTACACTTGATATGTCCCACAATCACATTCTCAGTATTCAACGTGCATACAAATTATTTGATCAACAACTCTTTTGTTGAATGTATTTAAGTGCATTTTTGTCTTTTAATGAAGGTTAGGTAGAAATAAAAGAGGTTATAGACATTACATATGACAAAAATTCGACACCAAGTCCTAACCCAACGAAATATTTAGTCAAAATAGTTCTTTATCGTGACAGTATTGAACTCATAAATATCAAGTATCTTTCGTAAATCTTGACCATCAAAGCAAACAAATAAACAAAGTCTCGATATATATGTTGCTCCTAGTGTTGCAATTCTGCACGTACTGCATGGATATTTGATGAATAATATCTCAGACAGAGAACACATGCAAACTCGACAATGCAACATTTGTTCATAAAATTCAAGGGAGCTTAATGATTTTTCATATCTTGTTTCAACTAATGTTAGTATAAGTAAATTAACGATTGTTTCAATACATAATTCATTTCCCATTACAGTTGAATCTTTCACTTGTTCTAGTTGCAATATAAACCGGATTTTTGCAAGGAAAGAACTGTTACAATTGTGAATAATTCCCACCCGGTGAACTTCTTTCACTTGGTCCAGTAAATAAGCGTTCTTTAGAATACATTTTGACACACTCTAACAGACGATGGCCAAATGAAGACTATTTTCTGGATTATAAAATTAAAAGTCCTGGCAATCATCCAGCTTGAGCCGCATACTAAATTTTACAAATTTCAAAGAAGCCAGCGATTATTTTTCTCGCTTTCGCATCTTTAGATAAAGTTTGATTTTAAGTAATCTATATAGAAAAGTTTTATCCTAATATGATCATTTACCAAAAGAGGAACAATACAATACCAGAAAGATCAAACAGTTATATTTTCTTTACACTAACTAACTCTAAATAGATGGAAATTTGAGTTATTTTGAACAACGAGTCGAAATTTCCACATATTTTGGGTGATTTTCACCAATATGCACAAGCTGTTAACATGTTTGTATTGCTATGTTTGCCACGAACGAATAAAAGGTACGTATACAAGCATTATATACATCAGCATTCTGTTCAAAGAACCAAATACATGCATGCTCATATATAAGAATAAAAAATTAGAATAAAAATATATATAATCGTGTATAAAATCATGTATAAATAAATATATAAAATTACAATATCGCGACTTGTTTCGCATCTCGCCGGAATCTCAGTAGGGGTCATGTATCTTTTAGCGTGAAATTTGTTACTTTAAAATCACTTAAAAACCACACTGCTGTAACGTGGAAGAAGCACCAATACTAAAATTGAAATTCACCTTATCAAATACATACGGTGGCACAAAGGTGACATGTGTGCGTTTTTATTTATCTCGTGGCCACGAGATACTATGTCGTGGCCACGAGTTACTAAGTCGTGGCCACGAGATAGCTAAGTCGTTGCCACGAGATACTATGTCGTAGCCACGAGTTACTAAGTCGCGACCACGAGAAAGCTAAGTCGTGGCCACGAGATACCATGTCGTGGCCACGAGTTACTAAGTCGTGGCCACGAGTTACTAAGCCGTGGCCACGAGTTACTAAGTCGTGGCAACGAGATAGCTAAGTCGTGGCCACGAGATATGATATTTAACCAATCAGAATACACTCTATATATTATGATTTTTTTAAACTTGACAACTTACTTTTACATGCAACATTAATCTTTGAAAATATCGAAGATATTCGCTTTGAACTTGTCTTTAGGATCATATTAGAAAGTCACCTTCCAAGGTCCATCAGACATTAATTTTTACTATAGCTATTTGTTGGGCAAGTTTGTGATGGAATTGGTCAGTTTGTACATACTAGTACTACGGCCTGTTAACCTTGTTTATACGATAACATGAGATGAAATAAGTCCTGGTTTATTTCATTTGTAAGGGACATTGCCCATCCCAGCATACAAAAGATGTTGTACCAACGTTGTACCAACGTTGTACTGACGTTAGACCCTGACGTTGGGTAAACGTTGGCAGAAGGTTGGATTTGAAAGTTTTTTAGACGTCAGAAACCGACGTCTATACAACGTTATAAAATGACCTTTATCAAACCTTTACTGACCATAATCCAACCTTTTCTGACCATTATTTGGACATAATCCAACCTTTTCTGACCATAATCCAACCTATTCTGACCATTATCTGACCATATTCCAACCTTATCTGACCATGATTTAACCTCATTCAAAACTTTTGGAATATGATTTATTTTTCATTTTAAAGCTCTTTAATAGGGTTAATAAATAAGCATTCTTATGATTTTAGCAATTTATTTTATACTCGGAATCACAAGTACAAAACAAGAAATGTGGTACTATAACAAATGCAAGATTTACATAATATTTTTTGAAACTATTAAACTTGACAGTATGTAATTTAATAACGCTTCATGTATTAATTAAGCATGTTTTAGAAATAAGATAAACAAAATCCTTCTTGAATATTAACACTGACATTTTGTATAGTAAACATCCATGCATGTGTTTTTTTTCTTATATCACCACTGAACTGATCACCCTGAGTTTGGGATTTTCCAATCATCTATCCAACTCACTGATTGTATATTTGTCATTGTATTTTATAACTGAATCTAGATCTAAATGTGAAATGGAACAATATTCTGAATATTTTGTTTTACTATAAATAGCAATGTTCATGTATGTTCATTGGTATTCTTCTTTCGTCCTCCTGCACTATGTCGATCAGAGGACATACTTTAAGCGTATCATTACCGTCTCCAACCTGAGAACTCATCACACTTTCTGAAATTAAAAAAAATAAATAATCAGCTACAAGTGCAAGAAATAAATCACTTTTACATATTATAATTAAACGAAATTCTAACAAAACTCTCCAACTACTTAAAAAAGATACTTATTATTTTTAATTTAGTTTAAACCATGTAGTTTCGTGTACCTACTGTATATATCTATTGATTTTGATATAAATGGCTTCGTGAATTTCATTATAAAATCAAGGGTAATAAGATCACTGTATTTTCTATAATATTTTGAAATATACCTGTCACAAAGTCTTGGTAGGTTTTCATTTTCTTTTCCTCTTAATATTTTCATTTTCCTCCTGAACTTTTGACAGATGTTGAATTATCATAATTTTCACAATCTGAAAGACGAACTATAATCGTTTTAGAATTTAACCATGTGGTGGAAGGATGTTTGTCTAATACAATAGGCAAAATCCAATTACTATTAATCATAGATACTCATATAAGGGCATGAAAAACTGACATAACAAATACCGAATTAATTATACTCCCGCAAAAATTGATATTGTTATTTTTTATATTCAATGTAATTTATACAAATGCTCATACAACATAAAAGAAATTCACATGTTACTGTCATTTTTATAGATATCCTCTCTGCCCAGCATGATCCGATCTGCTAAGTGTATATAGGACAGACGCTTAGTGTACAAACGTTTTATGATACAACTTGTTGATAAGCAGGCTTATTAACAAACTATTACTTTTATTGATTTATAACTATGATAATGTGTTATCTGAATGATAATATGTTAATTGTTTGATTACATTAATAAAAATATAGCCAGTCAAAACAATGTGCTTTCAGATATATCTTACCAAAGTCGTATCATTTACATGTATCAAATGCCATGAATCATTATCATAATATAAGAAACACATGGTATGCTTACAGTATGGGTAAAGTATGGGTAAAGTACTTCAATTGGTGTTTGGACTTTACACCTCTTGGAT